GATCTATAGCCTGCTTGGAGTGCGGCTATGGCTTGCAAGATACTGCTTGCTAAGGCTCTTCGTTAGGCCATCCTAACAGTATGTTCACTCACAGTTGTAAGCGTTAATTAACAGATTTCCTTGTCGTGATCTAGCACGCGTCCCCTGTGACTGGATTAGTCAGACTGAAATTGTGACTTTTCAATAGATCAATAATGTTTTTCTCTCAAAGTTCGTTCAATATGTACCAGAGGCAAAAGTCTACTGAAGTTGATTGAATAAAACCGACTAAGCTTCACGAAACAGTAGTTCCTGTTGTAACGAGATATCACCGCCCAAAAACGCGTTGTGTGAGTCCCCAAAGGAAAAACACGACAAGAAGTGTGCAACAGCAGAAGTCTTTTAGTGTATGAGGTACAACGTATTTAGGACAACAAGCTGTGTAACTCAATGTCCAGTGGGCCAATCAGATCCTCTCTTGACGTAGTTGCCGGTTTAATTGGCTGTTGACTCAGTGAGTGAACGTAGCTAGAAATTCAAGTCCTTTATTGATTGGCTAGCACGATACGTTAGCTCGCACGTAGGCCGATCGATAGCCTATTGTGGACGCGGCCACTTGCTGCCTCTATGCTAGCCGTTGGGTCTCTCCTAACTGTTCCAAGCATCACTACAAACATGTTATGAAATGGCATTCCGACGATAACCGTATGGCCAGCAAGAGTGACAATATCTTAGCGAGTGAAAAGTTTCGTAACGGAATACACGAGCGACATGTTATATCAAAATTTGCAATGCCAACTTATCCGATCATGGTTTAGTTTGTATCTGCCTGCTTCCCAAGGCCTTATGTCAGACCTACAAATGCCACACATTCAGGGCGTCTCAACATAGCTGCTACTTTGAATACACAAAACCGGTATCGCACTGCGGCCCGAATTTAGTAAGTAAGCAACAGCAAATTGTGTTCATTAAAGTCCTTAGTTTGAGAGAATTCTCGGTCATACCCAAAGGTGTTCAAGTGACGGGATTGACAGAAAATATCTATTTTTCTCGATTTAGACAGCTCAGTTAAATGAGTGTTCTTCCACTCACTTGCATCAAATAACTTAGAGTTATCTAGAGGAAACGGTAAAACACGATGTGACGAAGTGGATACCGCTATATGTGCCACCATACAAATAAAAAACCAACCGCAAAGTTATTGGTACTGGTTGCTTCGGTTTGTAGTATGAGTAAGGACGTTTTATTTCGATCAATCAAAGAAAGTAATGCGCTTGCTTGCCCAATTCCATTGTCTTCTCGTCTATAGCAATCAAAGCAATACCTTATTGCCAGTCCATATAGTTATATATGACCCACTCTCCTGAGGCGACCAAAAGAACACTATACGAAATGAACTCAAGAAGACTTCGCCGATGCTTTAGTGTCATTGCTGTATCCTGTCACCTAAAGGACATGAAGAAGTGATATTGAATCTGATGGCCGATGCCCTGAATAAGGAAGATCAGGCGACGTGCGAGAACCACCTCGGTGTATCAAATTAGCATTGTTGATTCATAAAAAGATGCTCGCAACTATCCGTTCAGCAAACAGTCTTATCGTTCAACCGAAAATATCAGAATAGAAAAGTAATGAAAAGGGGGGGGCAAGTTATTTTATACATATAATATTATAGTACATATAACAAGCGTCTTTATTTTCAAAAATGTGAATGAACAATTCTAGACAATCGTAAAACGAAACAGCATAAGAGCTGTAGCTGACCATGCGATGGAAAAAAAATAAAACAATGCACACCGAACATAAGCTACCAAGAGGGTAAAGAAAAAAATTGATTATGGAG